AACACGGTAGGGATGGGGAAGGTGGAATGGGAGTCTGTTGGCGGTGGGGAGGGCTGGGAGACGCGGAGTGAGCAGGTGAGAGGCGCTCAGTCCCATACAGGTTTCATGTGGTGCGCGGGGAAGGCTTCTAGTGCGGTGGCCCAACTGACTCATGGGTAGCCTGCGAGCAGCTCAGGTGGTGGTTCTGACGCGCGCTATTTCTCTGCTGGTATTTCTTTTTTTAGGTTCCTGGTCGGTTCCCTTCCAATTGCCACAGTTCTGTTGTTGGCTTGCGAGATATATATGTATCAGTGTTCCGTCAGCCGGAAGGGGCGCGGACGTGTGCGGTGCGGTGTTGTTGTGGGTGGTGTGTTGTGGTGTTGTGTTGGAGGGGAGGCGTCGCGGGCGGAGGGAGTGGCGAGTGGCCGGACTCGCGCGTTCACTGCAAGCTCCGCTCCCGGGTTTTACGCCATTCTCCTGCCTCGAGCCTTCCAAAGTTAGCTGGGACTACAGGCGCCCGCGCCCGTCCGCCGCTAGTTTTGTATTTTCTTAGTAGAGGCGGGGTTTCCACCGTGTTAGCCAGGATGGTCTCGATCTCGCTGACCTCGTGATCCGCCGTCGCCCGTCTCGGCCTCCCAAAGTGCTGGGATTACAGGCTTGAGCCACCGCGCCCGGCCTCTGTTCTTAATTCATTCCTTTTTCCATGGCCTCCGGTCACAGCATAACCAACGAGGAGCTGAAGGCGAAAAATGCCGAACTACAAGAAAAACTTCGACTTGTAGAATCTGAGAAGTCTGAGATCCAGCTCAACGTAAAGGAGCTAAAAATGAAGCTGGAGAGGGACAAAATCCTGCTGCCACAGGTAAGAGACTGCAGCCCCCGCGGTTGTGAAAGCTCCACCCAGCTGGGACCATGGTCTAGGGATCATGCAGGGTATAGGGAGGGTCCAGCCAAGAGCTGGAAAATTTGGGTCCTTGTTCTGATCCCACCATAGAATCATCTAGAGTGTGCTAAAAATCTATAAATTGGGGCCCTGCCAGGGGAATCAGAACCTCAGGGTTAGGGCTTAAATTTTTTTTTAAAGAATCATAGATGAAAACCGTTATTTTATAGATTACATTTATATAGCTAGCTCATGAGTCTATTTCCTTTTGAGGTTGAAACCAACACTTTGCAGAAGGAGAAGCTGCAGGAGCAGGAGAAGAAGATATGGGAGCAGGAGGAGAAGATACGAGAGCAGGAGGAGAAGATGTGGAGACAGGAGGAAAGGCTGTGGGAGAAGGAGAAGGAGCTGCACGAGCAGGAGAAGCAGATGCGGAAGCAGGAGGAGCAGATGTGGAAGCAGGAGGAGAAGATGTGGAGACAGGAGGAGAGGCTGTGGGAGCAGGAGGAGCAGATGCACGAGCAGGAGCAAAGCAGATGCACGAGCAGGAGCAAAAGATGAGGGAGCAGGAGGAGAAGATGTGGAGACAGGAGGAGAGGCTGCGGGAGCAGGAGGAGCAGATGCACGAGCAGGAGCAGAAGATGCGGGAGGAGCAGAAGATGCGGGAGCAGGAGGAGAAGATGTGGGAGCTGTGCGAGCAGGAGGAGAAGATGTGGAGACAGGAGGAGAGGCTGCGGGAGCAGGAGCAGGAGCTGCGGGAGCAGGAGAAGCAGATGCACGAGCAGGAGCAGAAGATGCGGGAGCAGGAGGAGAAGATGTGGGAGCAGGAGGAGAAGATGTGGAGACAGGAGGAGAGGCTGCGGGAGCAGGAGGAGGAGCTGCACGAGCAGGAGGAGCAGATGCACAAGCAGGAGCAGAAGATGAGGGAGCAGGAGGAGAGGATGTGGGAGCAGTACCAGAGGCTGCGGGAAAAGGAGGAGAGGATGCAGGAGCAGGAGGAGAAGATGCAGAAGCAGCAGGAGATGTGGGAGCAGGAGGAGAAGATGCGAGAGGAGGAGGAGAAGAAGATGTGGGAGCAGGAGGAGATGTGGGAGGAGATGATGATGCGGGAGCAGGAGGAGATGATGCGGGAGCAGGAGAAGATGCGAGAGCAGATGGAGAAGATGAAGGAGCTGGTGGAGATGATGCAGGAGCAGCAGAGGCTGCCAGAACAGGAGGAGGAGCTGTGGAAACAGGAGAAAATACAGGAGCAGGAGGAGAAGATGCAGGGGCAGGAGAAGAATATGCAGGAGAAGGAAGAGAGGATGCGAGAGCAGGAGGAGAAGCTGCCAGAGCACAAGGAGAGGTGCTCAGCGCCCTGCGTCCCCCCCTCCAAAGATCTTTGTGATACAAGCCACGCTAGCAGCATAGCGTCTGCGCGAGGAGAGGCCGGGGACGGTTCTCCCCACGACAACCCCACTGCACAGGTCGTGCACCTGCCTTGTGGGATGAAGAACGCCCAGGAGCGCCCAGGCTTAGGCAGCAACTCCTGCATCCCATTCTTCTACCGAGGAGACAAGAAGATGAAGATCATCGACATCTAAGAGCCGGCACTGTCAACAAGGCCTACAGAAGTGTTAGCCACCATGTCACTGTGTGAATATAGTCTGAGAATAAACTTGAAAAAAAGAAAAAGAAAATTTATGTTAAATTGTGATAAAATACTGGCCGGGCATGGTGGCCCACACCCGCAATTCCAGCACTTTGGGAGGCCTAGGCGGGTGGATCACCTGAGGTCAGGAGTTCAAGACCAGCCTGGACAACATGATGAAACCCCGTCTCTACTAAAAACGCAAAAGTTAGCCGGGCATGGTTGCGCACGCCTGTAATCCCAGCTACTTGGGAGGTTGAGGCTGCAGTGAGCCGAGACCACGCTACTGCACTCCAGCCTGGGCTGACAAAGCGAGACTCCATCTCAAAAAAAAAAAAGTTTCTACCTGAGGCAATAATCATCTATGTATGTTTGCACTTGTCTGTTCTGCTTGGTCTTTCTCTGGTTTATACTCCTGTGTTCTGTCGTTGTCTTATAGCGTCTAGGAAACTGTCCACCTGCCCTCCCAGAGAGGATTGACTTTTATTTTTTTTTTTTTTTTTTTTTTTGAGACGAGTCTCACTCTCTGTCGCCCAGGCGCTGGAGTCAGTGGCGGATCTCAGCCTCACTGCAACGCTCCGCCTTCCCGGGTTCACCCATTCTCCTGCCTCAGCCTTCCGAGTAGCTCGGGACTACCAGGCGCCTGCCACCCACGCCCGGCTAATTTTTTGTATTTTTAGTAGAGACGGGGTTTCACCGTGTTAGCCGAGGATGGTTCGGACTCTCCTGACCTCGTGATCCACCCGCCTCGGCCTCCCAAAAGGTGCTGGGATTACAGGCGTGAGCCACCCGCCGCCCGGGCTACATGACGTTATTTCATAAGTCCTCGCGCAAAACCATCGCGGAGGTAGCTTACAATGCAGGCACATTTTCAATCTCGGACGAGTGAGATTTGCATTTCGCAGAAATATCTTCGTCCGCACTTATGATTCATAAAATAACTACAAGGGTGACAAAGTAGACCTCACATGGCCCAGTTATTCTAAACACACTTCGATGCTTCCTAAATAACAGAATCGAGGTTTTTAAAATCTGTATTTTAATAAAAATTCAACAGATAAAAATATTCAGTGTCTCAGCTACGATGGCACACACTTTCAAGTTGCTGATCGCACAAACGTGTCGAGTGCGGCCAGACTGGCCAGCACAGGCTTACACGGCTGCCAAGCTCAAATAGCACAGCTGCAGCTCAAAACAGCCAGATCTCTCTGGCACCATGGAAACAGGTTCCTAAGCCAAGCAGGAGATGGGCGGAAAACGGGCACTGCCCTGCGTGAGAACAAAGACCCACAACAGGAACCCTGCACTCAACCCCGCCAAAGAAACACCAACGAGCCCCATGACACAGCCGTCAGTTAAAGGGAAGAAGGCATTCAAGAAACTTAGAAAACAGCACCTCTGGAAATGCCTCACTTGAAAACTTTAGCATGTAACTTGCATTTTTAATTACAAAGTTGTTAACATCCACTTTCTCATTTATTCTTAATGAACTCTGTGAAAGTAAACACAGCTTTTATTCTTATTCCTATAGTTACTGAGTTGGAAGTTCACCTATGTGAACAAGTTGTTCCAACTGAAATTTTCTGAGAACAAATCCCAAGATCTTTCCCTTAACAGAAACTATATTAAGTTGAGTTCACTAATTTCCATTGGTTAAAGACCAGAATGTGTGAAATATGCATTATCAGATTAGAAAAACAAAATAAACATTACAAAAATGCTTTTCGAAATAGCATTTACTAAAATCCATGATAGAAACTAGCTCTAAAAACTTCCCGTTTCAAAATTTCACTGTGTCCACTAAGTTCGTTTTTCTGGCTGTGGACAGCAGGGCCACCCCACGCCACAGACCCACCACGGCCCCATGACCAGGCCAGCTGAGAGCTGCCGGCACTGCCCAGGGCTCCCTGCTCTGTGTGCTCGGGCCGGCCTGATCAACTGCAGTTCTTTGCTTTCTCTATGTGTAGGAAACTAGAAAACAGAGCCTAAGTTTACAAAAAGCAGATTTTTATTAAATAAGAGGTACAAATGTTTTCATTTTCTAATAAATCTCTTTCACAAATCATCTTGCTTTTCCGTCTTCTTGAGTGATCCCTTTTACACAACACTGTCTGACCGTTTTGGCTTCTGCCAAGGTTAGCCTCTGTTCACAGGCTGAGTCTGACTTTCTTCCCACCTCCTCCTAGTCTGGCCTTACAAAACAATGCTCATCATTCTTTTCACACCTGACTTTAGTTTTGAAAAGAAAAGTTATCTTACACAGTAGTATGTATAATGCTGTAATATGTAAAGTGAGGCAATGATAGAACCAGTTTTAAAAATAACCTTCCCATGATGATTTTCATTTGCATCCACCTGCTTATATACTAAGAATCTTTTCACCACGTTTACTGCACACCCCAATTTCTTCTTCTGTGAAAAACTTTTGAATATCATCATACCCTCCAACTTCTCCTCTTACCTACGTTGAAAAGGGTCTGCTCTTTATCCTAACGTTGTACTAGGTAATTTTCAGAAATATCCCTTCAATCACCAATTTTGAGATTCTTGTGTGGATTTCATTATCTTAATATGAAAAAAAACAATTCATCTTAAAATACAATAAGAGGCCAGCACAGTGCTAAACCTGTAATCCCAAACACTCTGAGAGGCCAAAGCAGATGGATCACCTGAAGTCAGGAGTTTGAGACAGCCTGACCAATATGGTGAAACCCCGTCTCTACTAAAAATACAAAAATCAGCCAGGTGTGGTTGCGGACCCTGTAGTCCCAGCTACTCAGGAGGCTGAGGGCAGAGAATCGCTTGAACTCAGGCAGTGGTGGTTGCAGTGAGCCAAGATTGTGACACCACTCCAGCGCTGGGGCGATAGAAGTGAGACTCCCATCTCAAAAAAAAAAAAAAAATTAACAAGTAAATAAAATAAGCCAGCGTGGTGGCTCATGCCTGTAATCCCAACACTTTGGAGGGCCAAGGTGGGGCGGATCACCTGAGCTCGGGGAGTTCAAGACCCAGTCTCACCACCATAAAGAAACTCCGTCTCTACTAAAACTTACAAAGTTAGCTGGCATGGCTGGCACATGCCTGTAATTCCCAGCTTGCTTGGACAGGCTGAGGGCAGGAGAATCACTTGAACTTGGAAGCGGGGAGTTAGGTGAGGCCAAGATTGCGCCATTGCACTCCAGGCGCCTGGGGCAAGACCGAGAGTGGACATGCTGTCTCACAAAAAAAAAAAAGTAAGTAAATAAAATACAATACAATACTGCTAATACAATTTACCTAAGAAGCTGTTGCATGAGCTGAACCAGAGGCAAACACTGTTTGCCAGAAGACTCACAGATCCCCGTATTAATAAGGCCTTTATCCAATGGAGTCCTGCTTCTGTGAAATGTTGAGGCATTCGCTTCCTGTTCATCAATTTCTTTTTCCTTCTGTGCTTCTTTTTTGGCTTCAATATCCTGTAATTTGTAAACAGAAATTATTTACAAGTGATCTCATTGGCAGGTGTGAAGGCACACAGGCTGGCTGAGCCCTGACCCCAGTGCCACGCTATCCCAGCCTCTGTGTGCCACCGCACACACCTACCCACAGGACCCCACCTGCCCTGTTGGAAACCCCAACTCAGCTGTGCAGTTTCAAACAGTGTCTTCCTTTTACAGATCCAAGGTCCAGGCTGCCTCTGCTGACGCTCTCCAGCCTCCTTCTGTGAAGTCCCTAAAATCTATAACCCTGCCACTGGCTCTCACAAACACCCATGTGATCCGCCCCACACACACAGCATCCAGCTGCTTTGTGAGGATAAGAAGCTGCTGTAATTCTCACACACACTGGTTCAAGTGTAAATGGCAAAGCCACTCTGGGAAACTATGAACACACACGGACCCCAAGACCTAACAAATTCCACTCCAAGTGTTTACCCTAAGGGAGAACATATGCTCACTGAAGTACTTGTACACAGCACAATCATGGCAGCTCTACGCGGCCAAAAACCAGAAAGCCTGGGCGCGGTGGCTCACGCTTGTAATCCCAACACTATGGAAGGCCAAGGTGGGGGGATCACTTGAGCCCAGGAGTTCGAGACCAGCCTGGGCAACACACTGAAAACCTTGTCCTCTACAAAAAAATCAAAAAACTAGCCGGCATTGTGACCGCCTGTGGGTCCCTGCAACACAGGAGGCTGAGGTGGGAGGATCTTTGAAGCCGAGGAGGGACACGGCTGCCGAGTGGCCAACATCAGGTCACTCATCAGCCTGGGCTGACAGAGGCAGAGACCCTGTCCAAAAAAAAAAAAAAAAATGAATTACAAAAACCAAAAGCAATTACATTGTCCTTTCGTTGTACGGCAAGAAAGAATCTGATGAAAAAAACTAAGGACAACCAGCACTACACCTATAAAAAGGGAGAACGCTTCCAGCACACAGAATAATAAAAACACCAAGAAGGATCACAGACACACAAACAGTGGTGAGTGAATCTGAAAATCCTTTCTCCACGGCCAAAACGGCACGAAAAGAGTGTGCAGCCTCTGCAGTTACATTTGCTGCAGACACTC